AGTTCTATTTAGCTCAAACCAGGACAACTATTTTGCTACTGCTCTGTTGTATTGAAGATGGGTACAATGCAAGGTGCTTTTAGAGAGAGACTTCACTGAGATTATAGAAATGATTCACAGACATTCATCAAACCAGTCAAATTCTGCTTGCAGCCCTTGACCTCTGAATTTTCAAGCATATTTGGCAGTGTAAAATCCTTTTCCTGGAGAATGCTTTTTTTCCTCACGGAAAATACTTTGTTCTTATTATCTCTTGTTTAAAATATGAATTTAGTACACAAATCTTCACTGTTTGCAAGCTTTCTGCATGCAAATATGGGATGTTGGGTTACTGGGTCCTAAGCCAGTTAATCCTGAAATGTTAAATCAATGCTGAACTGTGCCTGAATTCCTGATGAGTGTCTGATGTAGTCTGTGTCTTGCAAACTTAGTGATGCTATTCTGAAGCTTATTGTTACCCATTAGCCAGGAAGGGATTGCTGTCTTTCCTCTGAAACCCCAAACTGAGATATAAAGTTCTTGACCTACCCGCGGATTGTTTCCTTCCATTTAAATAGGTAGTTTAGATACCTCTTCTTCCCCATATATTTTTTTTTCTGAATTTATTATTCAGGACTGCTACTTCTTCATCTAGGCTGGAACTGAGTGTTTAATCACAGTACACTTTGACTTAGGTAGAGCTTTTGTGCATTCAGATTGATTGACATTATTTTGAATATCTTTCATTTTAAGACTCTTAAAAAGTTGAATTTAATTTCCATAGCTCAAAGCTTTACCTGAACAAATATTTCCACCTTAATAGTTCAGCCAGTGGTAGGCTTTTACATCTAAAAATATTAAAAGAAGTGTCTGTGTGTATGTAATACGAATTTCTGGTGGCACAATAGTCTAGGCCAAGAATGTAATTGCTTCCCCTGTGAAGTGCAGTGATGTACTGTGCATTAATATGATTGTAATGACTTCTTTCAGCAACGGTAGCAAACTCTCAGCAAGCTTACCAGGAGGCATTTGAAATTAGCAAGAAAGAGATGCAGCCAACACACCCCATTCGACTTGGTTTGGCTCTAAATTTCTCTGTCTTCTACTATGAGATTCTAAATTCTCCTGAAAAAGCCTGTAATCTGGCAAAGACGGTAAGCAGACTCTTCATACTACCAGTTTTTGTGAAGGCTAAGGAGGTAATTGCATGGTTGCAGTAGTGCTTTATAGATGATTATGCTGTCATCTTTAAATTATTTTCATTGTAGTATGTTTTCAGTTAAGTTAGCTAGACGGGCTTAGCTTTAAGAAAAGTTAATTTACTAGTGCAGCCCGGTGAAAGGGGAGACAAATTGCCTCTTCTTATATCTATGTAATTCTCTTTTGAGTATGCTTGTGTCAAACTTGAAAACACTTGAAATAATTTACCACTTTGAAATATTTGCTTCAATTTGACCACTTAGTAAATACATGAAGTGTTGTCTTTGTGACTGCAGTTGTAGCCCTAAATGTTCATGTGTATCTGTATGTGTGTGTGATTTTCTATGCAGAGACCAAAAAGAGCTTGTGTGATGGGTTGGCCAAAGAGACAGCTCATTATTTTTGACTTAGGTTTTTCTTTAAAATATTATTAAGAGTCATCTAAATGGAGCTTTTTGCATCTGTGAATGTTTCCTGGTCGTAATTTGGATAATATGGCATTAGGTGAATCTTTGTGTTTTTAGCATGCACTTTAATAATCTTTGTAACAAATAATGTTTTGCTGTCCAAAGCTGCTGCTCCTGCTTTTTTACTTAATATGCTTACTTCTGTTTGAAACCTGAATGAAGAAATGGCACTTACTCATGGCTTTCGGTCTTGCAGCATGGGCTTTCATGTGTATCAGATCAATAGGAAGAATGGTTTTGTTAATCTCTAGAGGAACATACCTGACTTCCTATGCTGTTTTGAAAAGAAATCCAAAACCTTCCACCCCACCGTCAGAAAACCCTTGTCTTCCATTTTCTTTCCTACTGACATGAAATACATATATCAATTTAATGGTACCTTTGTCTTTTACTGCCAGATCAGAACAGTGAGGCTGTTTCATTTTTAATGAAAGTATTGCTTTTAAGTGTTGTTGTTAAACCTGACTTCAAGCTGTGTGATTCATTCATGAGATCATGTATGAGATAGAGCACGCTTCCCATTTCAGTATTTGGTGTTGACATGGTAGTAAAGTTGTTCTGGGCTTTCATCTGGACCTCCCTGAAGACTTCTGTTTTCCCACTGGTGATCTGGTGCTCACTTTGGTTTGCATTTCTTCTCTTGGTGGTAAAGAAAAATACTGGAAGCTTTTGTCACAGAATTTGAGTAGCAATGTGGCAAATTCGTAAGCTCTGTGTAAGCGGGAGTTAATTCAGAGAGCAGGGTGTGAAAGTGCTGTCTTGCGTATTTTTAGGCATTTGATGAAGCGATAGCAGAGCTGGACACGCTGAATGAAGAGTCTTACAAAGACAGCACTCTCATCATGCAGCTGCTTAGGGACAACCTCACTGTAAGTACTGTGGGGCAAACCACTGCACTGTGTGCTCGCTCTTCTTTAGGCTGCTGGACTCCACTCAGTGGCACTCAGTTTCTGAAGACTTGGGTAGTTCTGTGCCATTAAAAGCTTTTTCTGAGGCTTTTCTTTGTGTTGAGCTTGCAAACTTTTGCTGGCTTTTTACTTGTAATCCTCTGCCCGTTTTCTGGTTCATTATTCTGTAGGTTTACTGTTCAGTTCAGTTCTGTAATGAGAAATTTTCTGAGAAAATTGCACAGCTACTGCTAACTATGCTGTCTTCCCTTTCCTGACAATTGTAATTAATGGTGTGCTTTCAACATAAACATATGTTTGTATTTTCTTACAGCTATGGACGTCGGAAAACCAGGGAGATGAAGGGGATGCTGGGGAGGGAGAGAACTAATGGCTGTCACGCTTCACTATATGTTCAATGTCACCCCGTATCCTACACATATATCCCTTTGTGCGACAAGCAAGAAGAATAGTACATCGACTTTCACAACCTCAACGTAGCAAAAACTGTCTGTGGGGTAAAACCGGTTGGTTAGTGTTTTGTGTACTTAAAGCGGAGGTCGGTTATTATAATGGCATTCCGAACTTTCCTATTATGAACATTTACAGTTATGATTACCGTGTTTATATTTTTAACTGAACACTGTGATTATGGGTTTTGTGATTTGCAATTGACTTTACAAAACTTATTGGTAGAAAAGTAGACATCAGTTACGTAACTCTGGCAAGCTTAATTTGGCACCAAAATAGTCGAAGTACAATTCTGTTGTAAAGTTGTACAGAAAGTTATAGAGATTCTATTGTGACACTGGGGCATGGAAGGAAAACAATCTGACGTATGGCATTCCAGTTAGTGACACTGCTATGGGTTAGTTGAACAGGCACGCTCTGTAGACATTTGTAACCAAGTCTGAGGCACAGCTTCCAGTCAAAAGCTCACTTTGTCAGTCTTATCTTTCTGGGTTTGGGGTTTGTTTTGGGGAGGAGGATAATGGGGGAGCTAGCAGCTTGATTTCCAAATTCTTTACACTGGCAGATAACTGGGATTTGACTTCTAAAAGTGCTTTCATGCTCATAGAACATGCATGACTAAGCCCCTTCCCACAGCAATAACTTTCCTAATTATACCTTAGACATTCTTCAGTAGTGAGAATTCTTGGTTCGCTACCATGGACTTGCAATAGGAGAAGATTCAATTTTTTGAATGGCCTTATTAGTTTGGATGATACCATGAAGTGATCTGCCACTTTTGCATTACTTTACTCTTAGGTGAATCAAAATCTCCATGGTATTCCCATTTATAATTTATCCTGAAAACTTCTTAAGTAATCAACTGAGCCATCTTTAAGTTCACTTTACAGAAATTTTTCTCCCATTGGACTCTCTTCATCCTTGACCCTCTCACCTGTTAAAACTCCATTAAAGCAATTTTGGACTCCCACATATGCGTCATCCTTTCTTTGGTGGTGGGTGAGACCTGTGTCTGCTTGAGGACAGGTTTCTTTCTTGGATGTTTGAGAGCTGCCAGTGCTGTTGCAGTCTTCAGCTCTTGTCTGCCATTTTTTGGTAGTACCAGGATCTGGTTCAAATATCCAGGATTTCCTATTTATTGTACTGGAATGCAGACCTACACATTTGTAACACTTGTAATATTTGAGCTCCAAATGTCCTCACCTAGTTATGTTTCAAACATGTCCCATTAAATAAAGCCTAATAAGAGTTGCGTGAATAATGCAGTGGAGAAGATTAGGAATAGTCACCTATCAGTCTCGCGGTATCATCCCCCTACCTTCACATTCCACTTAGGTATAGGATCCATCTGTTTGTCTGTCCATCTGTCTGCTGAAGAGAATTTCATGCACTGATTTTAAAACTCCCCTCTACTAGCTGAACAAATTGTGCAGTTAATACTTGGCGCTTGATAAATGCAGTAGTGAATGTGGAACCGAGCCTGTCTGTATATCTGGTAGCTCTTTTTGCTTTGTTTTTACTGACCAGTATTCTGCCTAAAGTTTGCTTCTGTGACGGTTATATTGCCTAGCACACACGTGGTTGTGAGAATAGTATAGCAAAAAGAAATACCTGGTTATTGATGTACTAGATTTGTGTATGTCTTTTAAACAGTTCTAGTTTCACCTTACACAAAATAATCAGGAAAGTGTAAAAGAATTCAAAAGTGAATAATAAAAAAAATTTTATCAGTTCTTTGTGTCTGTTATCTTTGCCGTGCTAGTGGCAAAAAAACCCTGGGGTAGTAAAATCACCACTTACTTTTATTAAATGCTCAGGATCTTGGATTGTGTGAGTTGATTCGTGGTTTCCAAATACTTACTCATCCCTTTGTGGAGAGACTTCCCCACACCTCCTCCCAGCTTTGTAGTAAAAAACACTGATTCTCTTCATTTCTGCTGAGGTCATACTTGCAATATATTGTCATTGCATGACTTAAAAGAAATGCAACTATAAATACATTTTTAACTTGCCATGAGTCATTGCATATTGTATGGTTGAACATACTGTGTGTGAGAAAACTTGGTTGGTTGCATTTAAAGCTTTTTCCTTGGAGGATCTTTTCAATGCACATTTCTTCAGCTGGCCCTGTGTCAGTCATCTGTTTGCAGTGAACCATCACCTCCCCACATGCCAGTTAACTCCGCTCTTCTCAGCTGCTGGTGCGCAAAAGCAGCACTGGGACTGCAAATGCGCGATGAAGTGCAAGTGGAGGTGTCTTCTGGAAATAAAGTGCTCAAAGAGCTGGATGGCAATAGCCAGGCCAGTTGATATCAGTCAGTCTCAAAGCACCCAGGATGGTGGTTGGGGCCGAAGCAAGCGTCCTTCCTGTGCTTGAGGCCTCGCTCCTGCAGTGAGGTGATACAGAACTGTGCTCTGTGGCTAATGTCACTCGGCTGCTTTTGATTGACCACTGCAAAGGTGTTAGGCCAAAATCTAACTGGCTGCTGATTCTGTCCTATGCTATGGCTTTTAATGGTGGTCCCTCTGTTCATATCTGTAATTATTGCTACTTCGTCATTTTCTTCGGCCTTTATGGACATACGTGCTCTTAAATTATTTTATGGTGTACACTTAACTCCCAATCTGGCATATGCTCATGAAGCTCCAAGAAGAAAAAATCCTGGGTGCTGCTAGCTGCTTCTTTCAGAAGGCTTCACCTCAGTTCTTTCAGATTACGTTTCCCATCTTTACTGTCTCTTCTGGGGAAAATGATGAGGCAGCTGTGACAAGTTGAGAGAATATTTTAATTTTTCAATTTATCTTTTTGAGAGCTCAAGCCAGGTCAGCCACAGTTAAAGTTCAGGTGTACTCCAAGTGTTTAAACTGATGTAATTGTTGCTGCTGCGGCTTCTCCTTCCTGGCCCTGATGCTCGTGGTTCAGCGTGGGAAACCACCAGAGGCTCGTCTGAAGGTTGGGTTCCTCCTGATGTGTGCTGCAGCTGACCCCTCCCAGAAGATGGGATGGGATGGAGCTGAGCAAACACACTTGGTTAGTTTTTAATGTGTGGGACTGTGGTGCTGTGTGCTGCCTGGAGCAGGTTGGTGTCTTCTGAGCAGCGTTCGAGGACTCCATGGCACCAGAGGAATCACCTTTTTTTTTTCTTCATTAAATCCAGCAGAACCGTTCAGCTGAAGTTAATGTGAGCCCAACAAATACAGCCATGCTGGGAAAGCTGCTGGTGAGTGCCCCGCTGCTGCCCCAGGCTTCTGTGCTTCCTCCTCCCATGTTTCAACTGCACAGCGAGTTGCTTAATGCCAAATCATCACTCCTCATACACGTACCAGTATGTCCAGCACAGCCGGGGTGGGATCCCTGTGGGTGAAGGTGACTTTACAACACCCGTGTGTCATCCAGACAGAAAGCGGAGGCAGAGGCCAGGTTCTGTATCCCGCGGGTGTCTGCCGGGTGTTGACTTTGCTGGGGAGTTTTCATAAAAGTCTAACGATAAGGGACTTGTACCGAGTTGTGTCTATATTACCGGCTCCTGCCTGGATTTATTAACTTCTGGGAATTACCTACCAGGGCTTGCGGATGATTTCCTAAAGATGGGTGTGTGGGATGCACAAGGCAAGGACAAAAGGCAGCGCCGCTCCTCTTCGTTCATGGGGAAAGACGCGAGAAACGCAGCAGCACCCTGGCTCCGGGTTGCAAAAACGAGGAGATGTAACTACGGGCTCTTTGCTTCAACCCCTATCCGCAGGTCTGGGAGCTACGGCGGGGCCATCGTTCCCCTGCCCGCGGGAGTGTCCGCCCCGCTCGGGGCGGGGCGGG